AAAGCTAGAGAAACACTGCTCCAAATGCAACATGCTTACTCATGAAGTAAAAGACTGTCCGGCTCTGAACCCCAAGCCTCATGCACCAAAGCAACTTCCCCCCACCAAGTGACTTGAGGACTTCCTCAACTCCACGAACAAGACCTCCTCAACAGCATCATTACTCCCCTGAACCACATAAAACCTACTCCCAGAGATACGACCGACATGGACAGCTGTTTGGAGACAAAGTCTCATCTCGCAGCAACCCAAGGGAGATGCAAAATGGGAGCCAAAACACTCACCTCACCAATCAACAGGGCTCTGAGGGCAGAACCTCTGACTCCTTGTCTTGTAGAAGGGAGAGGCTTCCCTCAAGCTCTAGCTCCAGAAGAGAAAGAGAAGACCTGCGCAATAAACTAAACAACAGAAGAGCCACTTCACAGCTGAGGACACCTACTCTCCAGTGGAGAGAAAAAAATCACGGAAGAGGAGAGCACCAGACAAGAAGCCTCTGGTTCTTCTTAGAGCAGGATACCCCCACTAGAAAGGAATCTGGATCAGGAAAGCCCACCACCGCAGCCACAACAGCATATTCCTACCACAGAAGAGGTTATGGGAGACCTCACAGATGTAACCATAAACTACCTTAGTGGACCAAACCCAATAGAAAATGCAGCAAGATTGGAAAGAGTTCACCAAGGAGAGGCCAGAGGTTTAATGGCTGCAACTGCAGCCTCTATTATTGCAGCAGCAAAAGCTTCTCACCAGGCCAATATTCCTGTCCAACAATTGAGTCTATCAGATGACTCACAGGACCTTCCTCAACTACAGAGGTCCAGCCCACTCCCTCCTGAAGCCCCTGCAAAAAAGCGCAGAGGTAGACCACCCCTTAACAATAGGGTCCCAAATAGTCCTCTTAGACTTCAGGGAATAAGCTCAAAGAAGAGGACACTTCACCAGATACAAAGCTCACCAAAGAGAAAATCGGGAACCATTCACTCTTTCCCTCGCAGAGAGGAGAACTCTACCAAAAATGGAAAGGCCGTAGCTGGTGTCAAAGGGAGAACTGCTAAGAGTGGTAACCTAGCAACAACCATTCACCAAGTTACCACGAGTCAGCAAATA